TCCTCGTTTCCCCTCCTTCCTCTTTTCTCCTTCCTCCTTCCTCCTTCCTCTTTCCTCTGTCCTCCTTCTCTCCTCCTCTCTCTCCTCTCCTCCTCCTCCTCCTCCTCCTCCTCCTTCCTCTTCCTTTGCTCCTCCTCTTCCTCCTCTCCTCCCTCCTTTCTTCATCCCTCCTCCTCTTCCCCCTCCTCCTCCTCCTCCTCCCTCTGCTTGTTTCTGCCTCCTCGCTTCTTGCTCCCCGTCCCTCCCCTCCTTCCATGACCTACCTTCCTTTCCTCTCTCTCCGCCATCTTTCCCCTCCTATCCCTCTCCCACCTGTCTGTACCCACCCCATCCCTTCTTCCCCTCCCCCTTTCCCCTCCCCCCCCCCCCTCCCCCCCTCCCCCCTGTCGCCCTCCCCCTCCCCCCCCTCTCCGCTGTTATCTCTACTCTTTCCCCCTCGTTTGTTGGCGCGTGCGCCGTCGGCGGCATCTCAGCGTGGCGCTCATCCAAGGTGCATCCCGAGCCCGGCTGGCCTGGGGGAAGGTTGTGTCGTGCACTGGTCGCAGGCTCACAGCTGGAGGCTCAGACTGGCACTGAGTGCACTGATGACGTCCTCGACCGCGACCACGGCGGCGACGGCGGCGGAGGCGGCGGCGACGGACGACGACGACGACGGCGACGAGGAGGACGACGTTGACGACGACGACGACGACCACGACGGCGATGATGACGATGTCCACGACCGCGACCACGACGGCGACGGCGGCGGAGGCGGCGGCGACGGACGACGACGACGACGAAGACGACGACGACGACGACGACGACGAGAACGACGACGACCGCCGCGGCTCCAGCGCCTCGAGACGAGATGCCCTCCCGACCGTCCACTGTGCCCAGCCAGGGCGGGGAGGGAGTGCGCAGGCAGCCACACTGTGGCTGCCGGTGGTCTCCCAGCAGTCCCCTCCTTCCCTCAAGGCGGCCTGCTCCTCCTCCTCCTCCTCCTCCTCCTCCTCCTCCTCCTCCTCCCTCTTTGTGGCGGCCTTCTCTTCCTCCTCCTCTGAGCCTCCTCCCGCTGCCTCCCTCTTCCTCCCCTCCTCTCGTCTCGGGAGCACGCTTCATTGTAATGCCCCGCGTCGCATCAACATCCCCTCGTCCTCTCCCTTCCCCCTCCCCTGCCCCCTCTCCCCTCCTTTGCTCCCAGCTTGCCTCCACACCCCTCCCCTCACTCTCTCTTGCCCCCCCCTCCTCCGCGCGACCGCGCTGTGTCTCTGGCTCGCTGGATCGCAGGATGTCCCTGTCCCCAGAGGTAGGCCCTGCCTTCCCGGTGGTGATCCCCGTCGGACACACTCCCACCCCTGCCTCAGGGGATGAAGGGGGCGAGGAAGGAAGTGGTTGAGAGGACAAGCTGAAGGGAGGAGAGAAGGGAAAGAAGGGCGAGGAGATGCCAGAAGGAGGAGGAGGGGAGGGGCAAGGAGCACGATGTGTGGAAGACTCTTGGGGCCCTCGCGGGGTTGATGTTGGGGCTGTCTTGTGGCGTTTTGGTGGTCTCTTTGGTCGCCTTGAGGCCACACTGAGTGGCTTGGAGCAACGTTTGGGCGATTCGGGCTTCTCTTGGACCGTCTGGGGGGCCTCTTGAGGCACTCTTAGGTCCGTTTCGGGCACACGGGACAGCACGCAAGTATCCCCAGGAAGGCCCGGAATTTGGAACTGCGGGCCCCTTTATCGAGTATTCCATACTCTTTGACGTAGGACCCTCGGGGACCTAAAGACTCCAATCAGTGCCTCGCGGCACGGCGGCCGATGATCATACACCTCAACGAGGTGTCCAGCGAGACGCAACTGTTGCAGTCAGAGTAGCTGTTGCACAAGACCGTCCCGATCAGTGCAACTGCTGCCCAGGACTGCGTTTCTGGCTGTGCACTCTGAGGAATCCTCGGGCGAGAGCACCCACTGTGACAAGAAACCGCCCTCCATCCGTGCAGCCGTTACATGCGTTTAATGTTAGGGTTTTTTTTTAGGCTGGTGGAATTTTCAAGCGAGGGCCTTGTTTTTGGACGGAGCTGTTTCCTTACGCCAACTTTTTACTACACGCTGCTAGTGCGAACGTGCGCGGCGCTAAGAGGCGCAAGCCCCAAGCCCCGGTCAGAAGTAGACATGCCATCCAACCTGGTAGCTGCTGCAATCGATTAAGGCAAGTGTGCGCGGCGCTGAGGCGGGAGCCTACTTTCCATCCGCATAAATGATGCAATGCTTGAGTTCGGATGTGCGCGAAGCCGAAGAGAAAGCCACAGTTTGAAAACGACCCTTTTCATCCACTTTTGCTGTTGCAAGTTGTATGGCTTTAACACCGCGAATCAATGTGACTCTTGCGCCCTGACACTGCGAAACCGTGCCAAAATGTCGTTTCTGGGACGTTCACCACGAGTCCCTGAAACTTCTGCGAACTCTTAAGACGAATGTGCACAGCGCGAAGGGAGGCGAGAGCCGCATTGTGAAAACGGACCGCCATCCATCCGTGAAACATTGTGCAACACGTTCAAGACGAATGTGCGCGGCGCGACGGCGAGAGCTAAATTCTGAAAACGGACCGCTCTTTATCCGTGAAGCTCTTGCAATTTTGCAAGACAAATGTGCGCGGCGATGAGGCGAGAGCCGCATTTTGAAATCGGCCCGCCCTCCGGCCATGGAGTTGGTGCAAATTTGTAAGACAAGTGTGCGCGGCGCTGAGGCGAGAGCCACATTTTGAAAACCACCGTCCCTCCATCCGTGAAGCTTTTGCGGTATTTAAGCTTCAGGACTGTAAATGGCGAGGAAGCCTCAGGCGAAACGCCCGGCCCGCCTTTTCCACCAGTCTCGGAGTGCGACAGGGAAGAGTTTTCATAAGGAGCAGGGATGGAGGAGGGAGGAGGGATAAGGGAGGAGGGAGGAGGGAAGGAGGGAAGGACGAGAAAGGAGGGATGTTGCTTTTGACTCGACAAGGGGCATTCTGTCAGCATGGACGGGGGAGGAGGGAGGAAGGGAGGGAGCGACGACGGCGACGGCGACGGCGACGGCGACGGCGACGACGACTGCCACGACGGCGGCGGCGGCGACGGCGGCGGCCGCGGCCGCGGCCGTGGCGGCGGCGGCGGCGGCGGCGGCGACGACGACGACGACGACGGCGACGCTCCCCAGGAGGACCCGGTGGCCCACCCCGCGGCGGCGGCGCTGCCGCCGCGGTCGCCAGCGGTGCGCCCGCGAATGCCGCCGCCCCGGACCAGAGCGCGGAGGCCGTCGGACGGCTGGCGGCGGCAGCGGCTGCGACGGCTGGCGGCGGCGGCGGCGACAGCGACGCGACAGCGACGGCGACGGCGACGGCGACGTCGATGGCGACGGCGACGGCGACGACGACGGCGACGATGACGAGGACGACGGCGACGGCGATGACAGCAACGATGACGACGACGGCGACGGCGACGACGGCGACGACGACGACGACGGCGACGAAGACGACGGCACCGGCGACGACGGTGACGTTGATGTCGACAACGACGACGACGACGAGGGCGACGACTGCGACGACGACGGTGGTGGCCACGTCGACGGCGACGGCGACGGCGACCGCGACGGCGACGACGACCACGAGGATGACGACGACGACGCCGACGGCGACGACAGCGGCGGTGGCAACGGCGACGACGATGCGACCTTGACGACTTGGACGACGACGACAAACGGCGACGTTCATGACGACCACGACGACGACGACGGCGACGACGACGACGACGACGTCAAAGACGACGCCCGCGGCGGGCACGACGACGACGACGGCGACGTTCACGACGACGGCGACGACGACGATGACGACGGCGACGACGACGACGACGACGGCGACGACGAAGACGACGATGACGGCGACGACGACGACGACGATGACGACGAAGACGACGATGACGGCGACGGCGACGACGTCGTCGGGGGCCGCGGCGGCGGAGACGACGACGACGAGGATGGCGTCGATGACAACGACGACGACGGCGGCGACGACGACGACGACGTTGATGACGACGACGACGACGGCGTGGCGGCGACGACGACAACGGCGGCGACGACGATGGCGACGGCGGTGGCGAAGACGACGGCGACGACGACGGCGACGTTTATGTCGACGACGACGGCGACGACGGCGGTGACGGCGACGGCGACGACGACGACCGCGACCGCGACGACGGCGGCGACGACGGCGGCGGCGGCGACGACGACGACGACGACGACGACGGTGTCGTTGACGACGACCACAAGGACGCCGTCGACGACGACGACGATCAAGATGGTGGAGACGGTGGAGACGGTGGAGACGGTGGAGACTGGACCGCGGCGCTGCCTCGAGGGTCCAAACCTGCGGCAGGCTGTCGTCGGCGCGCGCGCCGAGGACGCCCGATTCAATCTCGCTCGCGCAAGGTTGCTGTTCCCTGGCACGCCTGCGGTGAGAGCAGGGCCGCGGCACCGCACAGGGCCCGTTCCGGCCTCTCCGGTTCGATTCGATTTCGATGGTTTGAGATCCCGGTTCGATTCGGCTTTTGATCCCGATCTCGATTCCGATTCCTTCACGGCTGCCGGCCAGCCTGCCGATTTCCCAGCTTGGGCGCCGCGTAATGGGGGGGTCATAAATGGGGGGCTGTCGCGGGTGGTCCCAAAAGGTACCCAAACGGTACGTAAACGAGCCCCCTGGGGCTCCGGAGGGGCCCGAAAGGGGCACGAAAGGGGACCTTTTTTGGACCCCCCCATTTGTGACCCCCCCATTGAGCCACGCCCAACCAGCGGCACGCGTGCGGTGAGCGCAGGGCCGCGGCGCCGCGTCAAGCGGGAGGGCTTTCAAGGGTTGCCTTGCACTGAGCGCCGCTGGCCCTCTCAGGAGCCGCCTCCGCCACCCCGCCGAGGGCCGCCCCCTGCTCGGCATGCCACCCTCGAGCTTCCCCCGCGGGGCCCTTCGCGCCGCGGCAGGCGCCCGCCGCGCAGGTCGCACGGCCCCCTCAAAGGGC